TACTGACAATAACAAGGTTGCACCTAATAATTGTTAACACAAAATATATGGATACGTCTGGCCTGGATCTCTGCTTTTAGGGGATTTTATTTAAAAGGTGACAAAATGATATATACCTGGTTGTATATTTGCTGCACTTACAGCAGCAGGGGTGGGGCAATTTTCTACCAGAACATAATACAAGATGACAGGGGAGCATAATGCTTATTACTGACATGCTGAGTTTGTTTTTCTAAAGAAGTATTATTGATTCCCGGGCGACTAAAAATGTGTGTGAAAGACACTTCAAAAGCCAGCGGTGTGAATCACAATGTGAAGAATGAGGCGGCTGCTTAGACGACAGAAAGATTTAGCTGAAAGGTAGAAATATTGATCAGAGCAACAGGTAATCTACTGCCCACACATCCAACACATGCAGACAGGTACAAGTATCTTTCATAGAACCACAATTACAACCACATACACTGAGAAGGAGTCTATCAGTCAGGGCCGTAAACGCAGCGAGAGCACGGACCTGGCGCTGGGCCTTAAGATGTTAGCAAATCAATTGAGTGACGCATGCACATGAACACACACACACACACACACACACACACACACCGACCCTCCAGCAACATAAAGAAATAAAAAAAGAGAGAGTTTTTATTGGATGCCCAGAAACGGTCGGTGATCAAACTCAAACAGCCAAAAGAGCCACAGTGATTTAGTGGAGCGAAAATCCATTATGGCTCCATCCAAAGGTAATGACTTCTTCAGGCCTCCCAGCTGATTCTCCAGAACAAGAGTGGGAGGGGAACACACACACACACACACACACACACACACACACACACACACACACACACACACACACACACACACACACACCACACACACACACACACACACACACACACACACACACACACACACACACACACACACACACACACACACACACACACACACACACACAACACACACACACACACACACACACACACACACACACACACACACACACACACACACACACATCAAGCTATTGTATAGAACAGCGTGAGGTCCTATAAGAGTCCACACTGACATCACCTCTCTTTGAGGGTGTTTCACCTTCATCACTCAGCCTGGCAGACAGCAGCACCATGTACAATATCCACAGTCTGTACTACAAAGGGAATGATTAGCACTGATATTCAGTTGTTGGATCTCGTGACGTATATTAACTCAAGATTTTTGTTTATGTACTATGTGGACGTTCTTTAAATGCATGTAAGTCGCTTTGGATAAACGCGTCTGACATGTAATGTAAAGTATTTTTGTTTCATGCTACTTTATACTTCTACATTTTGGAAGCCAGTCTTCTATGTTTTACTCCCACAAGTACTTTTACTTTTGGTACCTTAATATATGTGGAAGCCACTACTTTTGTACTTTTACTCTATAGCATTTTGAAGGCAAGACTTTCATTTGTAACAGAGTAATTTAACAACATAGTATTCCTGCTAAGTGTAACATTTGAGTATTTCTTCCACCACTTCTGATTCTAAAGCCTTTTTCTTTGTAAATTGCATGAAGACATGTACGGACCTTATGGAAAGAATAGCAGGGCAGAAACACATTACATGCTCCACCTTACGCTGACCTTTAATGTAAAAAGCCGGAAATAAATCAACGAACGGCTCAACCTGGTGATTTGTTCAACCTTCAAGTAACTCATGAAACTAGTTATTACCTTGAATGAGGCAGCTGAACTCAAATGACTCAGGGAAGAAAAAATGATCTGAGCAGAGAATAAAAAAAGGATGAAATATGCGGCTCGGTCTCTTGACAGAAAATGTTGAGGTGCCCTTGAGCAAAGCGGGCAATCTTAACATATCATACGAAGCAGCGAGCGTTACTCGAGAACCGCGAGTGAAATATCCATGAAATGCAATTTTTTAAAAGACGCCCTACAGTGTCCAAGAGAACGTTGGACCTTGCTATCAAAGAGATGAATTATGCTTTGCAGCGCTCATGCTTAGAGAGAACTGAAACTGCATCTGAAGCACACTTTGTCCAAGAATGAATGAAAATCCTCCAGAAACGCTGCATTAAAACACGCTACAGTACCCCCTCAATGCTGCCACAATATGGTGCATTGTTCATTACTGTATTGTATCAAATGGCACTGGTTGCAAGAAAAGCCTTTTTTCTAGAAGTCTAGGAGAAAAATACACTACTTCTCAGTTGATTAAATACCAAAGTGAACCTTTTACATATGACTTTAAGGTCTCAATCACTAGTCTTCTAAGTACTGTAAAGACTAATAATAATAATAATACATGGGATTTGTATGGCGCTTTCCCTTAAGCTCAAATACGCTTCATACAGCATGATGTGCATTGCTCTGTCTGTAGGGATTTGGCATTGTAACTGGAGGGTCGCCGGTTCAAATCCCAAATAAATAAGGAGTGGACTATATAGGAAAAAAGATTTTGCAGCAGAAACAGGAAGCTAACTGTATGTCAAGAGTTGCGTAAAACAGAATATATGCTCCACACAACCTGTTGCAAAAAAAGCGTATGTGTCTAGAAGTCAATGAGAAAATGACCCTTACTTCTCACAATATTTACTACTGATTTTTAACATTGACCTGATAAATATATTGTCTTGATTGCTTGCTGTCCCATGACTATAGCCTAAACCTGTTTTCCATCAAATGGCTCTCCACTGGTAGCAAATTAATCCTGGTTGTATTGACGTCTATCAAAAAAATGCCTTTTCAACATTTCCCTGATGATTTTCTGGTATGAATCACTAGATGTAGGTATCTTTCACTACACTATGATGTGATCATTGTCCCATTTAAAGTCAAACAGCTGGCTGTAGGGCGTGGCTACCACCTTGTGATTAACAGGTCAATACCAGCAATATGATGCTGTGCTTTAAAAAAGAAAGAAAGCAGATGTACAAATAAGGAAGATCTTTAACACAGATTCTGGTTGATTAAGTTTAACATTGTTTACAAGGTGTTTACATGGTTGTGGTTGGATTTAAAAGAGATCCAACCAATTTGTTGTGTTTAAAACGTAACTGTAATCGGCATAAAACTTTGCTTTACATAAAAAGGAATATGAATGTTAGCATAACGGAGATGCATCATTAGCAAGCAGCTGTGACACCAATTCAATCTTTGACAAGCAAATGGTCAAACTGCCTTCATGTCATGGTGTTTCTCCTCCCTATGATCTCTGTTTCCCAACATCTTGCATTTATTATCTTCTGTTTTCATCATGGTTTGAGACTTTGGCTTCTGTGTGTCGAAGCAGTTTGTTAGCACGGCTTAAATTCACGACTTGCCATTACATGACAAACACGTCTGTAAAGCCTCATTAACTATAAACCTCTGCCTTCATTAGAGCCAGCATTAGGCCAACGGAATAATTGCCTGGCCCTAAATAATCACACAGAGTTCTTTACCGAGGTGAGTTACAAACGCTAATCCTTTAAAGTAGTTAATTAAGGGATGGCAGAGGCTAATGCTGCTTTACACCATGCTTACGGTATGAAATGAGAAACATGCGTAGTTTGTGGTATTGGGCAACACATTCTCACTCCCAACTCGTCCTATAGTGACGTTATGTCAGGATCCCTTGGCGTCTCTTTGTAACGCAGTGGGAAACCCTTTTGCGTCAATTTTCAACTAACAGGGAGTCCCATTGACTTGCATAGAGCTCCCTGAACGTTGGTAATAGACGAGTTGGGATCGCGGCGAAATGCTCTCCGCCGACCCATTCTCACAGCGTTTATCAACCTTTTTCTTACTCAATATCAAGCCACACTTATTGTGTTTACTTCTTTATTTTAATTGTATAATGTCAGACTTTTGTTGCCGTCAGTTAGGGGGAGAGTAGGGGCTCAGAAAACTGAAATCTGTATTGTTTCATCGTTTTTTCCTTCTAATTTTGTATTATTTTCTAAACCACACACTGTTATTTACTCAACAATAAGACACAATTATCCTTGTGTTTATTTATTTGTTTGATTGTATAATGTCGGACTTTTCGGAGTCCGTCAGGACCGAGGGTCGGAGCAGCTCATAACGTCACTATAGGAAGAGTTGGGAGTGAGAATGTGTTGTATTTGGTCAAAGTGACACGAAGGAGAAAAAAGTGACAAATGCTCGAAATTGAAAACTTAGATGTGGTAGGATCAGAGGAATCCATGCACCCTGTTATAAAAAGGGACACAAGGGTGTGTTTTTTGTGAGAAATGCACACACAAACACCACCAAACACGAGCAAATGTCCACTACTCTGCCTGCCAACTGATAAGAGCTGCAGTTGGGTGAACACTTGATCGTGAACCACAGGAACCTGAGCCACTGCCGTCCTCTCCTTTCTTCTCTCTCTCTGTTCCTAGATCAACACCACGACTCCTTTTCACTGATCCACCACGCCAACGCCAGACACACAAGCAAAAACCTGGAGTTGACACAAAATGAAAGCTCAGCATGCACAAAAGCCATGTTAATCCTATTGAATTTCCCAGCATGATCGACAGCGCCTAGTCCGCTAATTAATTCTGGATCCCTTCACATTGCAGACACGGTGAAAGTGTGAGAGAGTATGTACAGTATACAGGCCTAATTTGCATGCACACTGCCCTTTAGTATTGATCCAGCTGTCTATATGCGTGCATGTCTGCAAATGTGTGGCCTTTAGCAGAACTTAACAACATGCAGAAACACAAAACTCCAGTGCAACAATCTGCAGGACCATTGATAACCTGTAGCAAAGAGGAAAACCTTCATTCCTCTTTTTTCAGACGACTTCTCTTGGGTATATGACAAAAGTGAAGTAGTTCTGAACACATGCAGTAAAAAGTACTCCTACAGTGTCTGCATGTGTAGATTTTCAGATGAACAAAGGTTTTGAAGAGAAGATTAGCTGGGGGAATGGATGCTGCACAATGATGCAACTGGCAGAAAGGAGAGACACCAAAGATAGCCGTCTGCCTGTCTGTTGGTGTAGACTTACCTTTCATACCGAATTTGGAGCGCCGGCCGTATTTGTTGATGAGAACAAAAAGGACGAGAAGGAGGACACAAGCGAAGCCCGCCAAACCCACAGCGATGGAAACCTGAGAGAAAAGAAACCGCTGAGTCACTCTGTGTTCACATCATAATCCTCTCCAGACTTCTGATCACCTTAAATACTGCAAATCAGAGTTTAATCCACAAGATTATGACTACTGCTTTCTCCTATATTACAGCAGTCTGGATAGAATAAAAAGTTCACCTGTCTAAGCTGTGATGTGTTCCAGTTGAGGGGTGGTAATTTAAATATGAGCCTCATCTGCAGACAGACTTACCGTCAGAGTGGAAATCAAAGCGCCATTTTAAAACCTGGCTCAACAACATCATTGCAACCAGTTTCCAAATCAGTCAAATGTTCCTAATTTGGATAAATGGGAGTACTTATTCAATTCATGTATTAATGTAACACTGTAAAATTCCCTGCTGTAAAAGAGATCAAATATTTCTAATTCTGATCTTATATCTTAATAAATAATGAAAATAAAGACAATAGTTAGCTTGTTATCATCATCAACAGCATCCGTTCTAATCTTTAATGCATTGTTAGATAATCCTTTGGTTTTGAATCAAATTGAAAAGGAAATAAATTACAACATTCTTAATTTGCTTTATTTGCTTTTTCTCGCTGGTAGAAGTCAAAAGGCCTGAGAAGAAAAGTCTTTATGGACACGTTTGGATGGATGTCTTTATATTGTAGATTGGTTTTGCATGGGGCTGTATTGAAATGTATACTTTATTGTTAAATGATGAAGCTTTTGCCTATCTGTATAGTGTTTGCATTGATTTAAATACATCCAAATGTACACATATCTCTGCCAAACACAGTCACATAACATATACATGAAGGACTGTCTGCCAATAGCGGATAAGACCGGCCCAGTGCACTCTGCCATGCAAAGCCACAGAGATAAAGTGTGAAAGCCAGAAGAGACACAATGTCATGCTACATCTGGTCATGATACAAGACTTTTTTGACAAAAATATCATCTCATCTCTAGATAAAGAAGCTTACTGCAGGGCCTGGGAAGCGTATAGTATAATATAATATAGGAATGGCTGGGGTAAAGAATTTATTGTGGCAGCAGCGTTGACATATTTCTCTGTTTTGTCATCGTCAATCCTCCTTGATCAAGTTTCAATTAAAGGCCTTATTATGCTATTTGGGGTTTTCCCTTTCCTTCAGTGTGTTCTATAGCTGTGTGCATGTTAATGGTCTGCAAAGGCGCTCCAACACATTGTATCTGATAGGCTAAGGGGCGGAACATCTCTAAGCAGTTGACCAATCACAACAGAGCCGGCCAGCTAACCAATCAGAGCAGACTGTGCTCTGGTTTCAGACAGAGGGTGAAAAGAGGTGCTGCAGCACAGGCAGTATGAGAAAAATAAAGAGCTTTTTGAACATTAAAGCATGGAGACATGTCACAGTAGAGACACTACATACAATTGAGCTTCATATGTCCTCTTTAAAACCTTCAGTAAAATTTAAATTTAAATTGCTCTTTTTTGTCATGTCACAGTACAGGTACTATGTAACGAAATTGTTCCTCTCCATCCTAGTGTTAGGAGCAGTGTGCTGCCGTGTCTGGCGCCCGGGGAGCAGTGTAGGGAACGGTGCCTTGCTCAGGGACACCTCGGTAGCACTTGGTCTTGCCGGGACTCGAACTGGTGAACTTCCAGTTGCCAAGCCAAGTCCCTATCGACTTCGCCACCACCGCCCTCGGTATTGTAAGACATCAGTTTTCAGTCTGCAGCAGCCTCTTATTGTGGTTCAGTTTGTTGCTAAAATAATTTCCTTCACACTTAGCGCAGTGCAAAGGGTTAATTTAACCATGTTTATCAAGTTCTACGGTAAGCTGCTTACTTGTTCACAGTCGAAACAGGCCATTATCAGTGTTATTAATCAAGTCAAAATGCCATTAAAAAGCCCATTAACCATAGGCCTGTTTCTGCTGAAGTACAGTGGAATACATTACTGTAGCTTTTCACAAACTGCACAGAATCCCTCGCATTATTCCAGCACCACACACTGCATTAGCGTGTCGCCATCATCATGTCCATACATACGACTTTGAGAAGTGACGTTTACATCGTTTGTCGTGTTGTAGTCTTTGTGCCTCGGCGCTGCATGTCGAACAAACCCCTACGAGTTTGCTCTGACAAATACAGCGCTGTTTAGATTCCTCTGTGAGTCCGGGGGCAACGTCTTTAGCAGCTGTTTCGTCAACATCATTATGAAGAAAACTCACCCCAAATGTGTCTTCATCTGGTCGGCCCGCATCTCCTTCTGACGGCGGCACTGCAACACAAAGACACACAACGCATCAGCTGCTGAGAATAAACCTCTAATGGCTGTGGTGCTGTGGTTTATTCCCACACTGATTCACAGTGAATACGTAGTGAACTCCTATTTTACACTTTTTGTAGGATTTGCTGTGTTTTCTGTGGACTGGAACAACGTTTTATTTCAGTCTACTAATCCAGTGTAGAAGCCGTTTATGCACCTTTTCTCACAGTATTTAAGTGTGAGAAACCTTTACACTGTGTAGCCTTTAAGGACTCGGTTTATTTGCCCTGCTTTTTGTACGTTTGTTCGGTTGTTTGTTTGTTTGTTTGTTAGCAGGTTAACAGAGAACAGTGTGTCTGATTTTCATGTTAGTTGGTGGAAAGCTGTAGCTTCAGCAATGGATGAAATGGAATTAAAGGGTGCACATTGTGTGTGTCTCAAACTAATATTCCACCTGAAAAGATTTAAAAAATATTAGAATATCTTAGCAGTCATTACAACAATTTTGATATCATTTGTTCAGCCTTAGAATAAACAATTTCAGCTCTAAAATGCAAGATGGCTATTGTGTTGCCTCCTCACCAGGATGTAATCCTTATGAACATATCAAAATATAATGAAACTCATTTTGAATCGTTTCCAGCGTTGGGAAGTAGGCCCATCCGAGGAATACATCATGGCCTTGCAGAGGTCTCTAGATTTATGTTCAGTATCTGCACAAAGCCAAATCTCCTTGCTAGTCTAAAATATTCCATTGTGATTTCCATACTCCCGTGTCCTTCATCTCACATAAACTCTTGAAAATAGGAGCACTCGCCCCTCATGTTTTTCTGAGTAGTGAATAAATGTTGAATCTCTCGATGTGGAGAGAAGTCGCCCTCTAGGAAGGAGATTGGCGTAAACCATAAAGGCTTGAGACAATGTGATAAAATGTTGATGAACTGTGCATTTCTATGTGTAGAGGCTGATAAAAGGCTTTTATTTACAAGCATGGACAGCATTAAAAGCACACCTTAGTCCGACACCTGTCAGAAGGTTCCTAATAAAGCATGAAATAGTCTTACTGTTTTATCCTGACTCAAGAATCAAAGTAACAGGAAAGACATTGAGATTGTGTTTGTGCACACATGCATGCTCATGCTTTTACATACACACAGGGAGTAATTCAAATAAGGTGGTGTAGAATTATACAATTATACAAGCAGAAAAACAGGAAAGAAGTTCAAACAGACAAGAGCAGCAAATGTTAAATGAAGTGAAAGTAATTAAAATTGGACATCCACATAAAAAAGTGACATAACCAACATGTTCAGACAGAAGTTGGACCTGCTGGACATGGTTGCAGATCTCTGGTGTAGTAATATTAATGTATCAACATTAAATCAATTAATTAATGTTAAAACGCTACATTTCATTAAACAGAGGTCTGAGGAGTGTAAGGAGGAGAGGACAGAGCCATGACACGAAATGAACTGGTGTCAGGGAAACTCCAGTCTGAGGCCTGCAGCCAGGACATCAGAGAGTAATTGTGGGCAAATTAATGGCCACATGGTAGACTGGCTGCCACTGGCTCAGACACACACATTACACTAAAGTGTGTGAGTGTGTGGGCTCTAACTACCATGGCTGTGTCCCTCCCTCGCAGCCTTCATCCCTCCCTCTGCCCTCCTCTCCCCTCAGCAGTATTAGTATCAGTCAGCCTGTCACTCTCCCCTCTCCGGATGAACTCCCTCACACACCTCCACTTTAATGTTTCTCACTGAACACCTCTTCCTCACCTGCCTCACTCACAAGCTGTGCAGGTGTGCGTGCACATGTCTGGGGAAATAAATAAACCCCATGCCCGCTGCAGAGTCTCCGTCCATCCATCCGTCTCTATCCCGGCTAGTTGGCCACATTATAATGAGCCGCTGATTAGAAAGAATGGCCTCATATGGAGATGGAAGAAGACTGCGATGAAGGTCAGAGATCAGAACAGCCCACTTAGTTTAAGCCGTCAAATGTGAGGCTGCCACAACAGCCTGAGGCCAAACCACACATCACACACAGGAGATTTACGATGCAGAAAGAGAGGCCGTGGCATCTTTCCAGCAATATGACTGCACTTGCCGCTTCACCAACAGAGACACATCAACAGCTAACGGGCAGGGAAACTAGCTTGTTTCCACTGTGGCTGATTAGTTAGAGGCTAGTATTATGCACGCTAAGTTAAGGAAAGAATCCGCATTAAAGAGAATTATTTAAACCGAGGGATTTCCTGGGCACATATACCACATGATTTGCATGATTTAAGAGCAAGGAGTGGTGTTAAGAAAGTAAGTACATTTACTCAAGAAGCACAGTTAACATGATAATACAGCAGATGATTGGGATGAGACATGGCACACACAGGCTCTTCTAGTTTATAATAATGATCTCATCAGATTTTGATAAACAGATGACGATGGCCATCCGAGTGAAGAGAGAGTGACGTGGGTAAATTGTAAATGCACTGTATTATTGGAGCGCTTTATCCAGTCTTTACGACCCCTCAAAGCGCTTTACATATACAAGTCATCATTCACACCTCATTCATACAGTGCAATGTGCCACACTTGGGGTTAGGTATCTTGCACGAGTATACATCAACATGTCAACTAGAGCTAGACTGGAGGAGCTCTGGATCGTCTGCCAAAGACCACCAAAGATCGCCAAAGACCACTAAAGACAGCCAAAGACCATCAAAGACCACTAAAGACAGCCAAAGTCAGCCAAAGACGGCCAAAGACCGCCAAAGTCAGCCAAAGACAGCCAAAGACGGCCAAAGACCGCCAAAGTCAGCCAAAGACAGCCAAAGACAGCCAAAGACCGCCAAAGACCGCCAAAGACAGCCAAAGACAGCCAAAGACAGCCAAAGACCGCCAAAGACCGCCAAAGACAGCCAAAGACCGCCAAAGACAGCCAAAGACCACCAAGGACCGCCAAAGACAGCCAAAGACCACCATAGACTGCAAAAGACCGCCAAAGACCACAATCACCTGCTGGTGTAGACAGTTATTTCCTCTCACTCAGTACGTACACACTAGTTGGCCTTTGGCTGTATTCATTGCCCAGTTACTGAGAGCTACACCAACAGTAACTAACGGAGAAGGGCTTAGGGAAGGTTTGATCAAAGCATAACATCCCAGCTCAAGTTACCAACCAGCAAACTGCAGGTAGTTCAGGTCACCTCACTAAGAGAGTGTGGAGAACTGATGAGGGTGAAGCAGGGCAACACTGAAGCATCATCTGAACCAACAAATCTCTGCCATAAAATAAAAGCCAGTGTCTGGTGGATTTTGGAAACCCTAAGCCCCCATGCTTTACAGATCAGTTTTATTGACTGTGAGATTGCCAGTTTCAGTCTCTCGACAGTCAGAGGTGATTCAAGTGGGGTCATCCATTTGTTCCCAGAGTCTATTTCAGATCAAATTGCAAAAGAACAAAGGCAGATGGATGTTTTTCAAATTCAGCTTGAATGGAAACGTATATTGTCATCAACTGTGAAACTGTCTTTCCTACACATTTGAGGTTGTCTTTGGGGAGTAGACCTATAACATCTTTATCCTAAAGGCTAAAGGGGAATTCAACATATGAACGACATACACTGACGTAGGGAAAAACGTATTTGGGCTTGGGAAATACTGTAAGACCCTGGGAACATAGATACCATCCAAGGTGAATGACTAACGCTGCATATGAATAGCATTAAGTATAAATACTATGATAAACATTTATCCCTATAAAGGTCCAGATGCTCAAACTCTTTTTTTATTGACTGCAACACAAAGTGAAAACATTTCTACATGGTTACCATCTCAGCATGTGTGTGTGTGTGTGTGTGTGTGTGTGTGTGTGTGTGTGTGTGTGTGTGTGTGTGTGTGTGTGTGTGTGTGTGTGTGTGTGTGTGTGTGTGTGTGTGTGTGCTAGCTGACATCAAACAAACAGGTAGTAAAATAACAAAACCAAATGATAGGAGAGGGTTGAATTCCAGAACAGAAGCACTCACCTATTTCCACTACATCTGCAAAAGAGAAGACAAGGAAAGTCACGCTTTGCCAATAAATTGACACAAGGTATTAACCTTGGAATATTGACCATGGGGAGAAATTTGCCAGTCTTTGTGGGTTTATTTCCCCTCCCTGTGCACTCAGAATGAACTGCAAGTGAACAATCTACCTGACTGAACTGTGGATGAACCCTGGCTGCAATCCAGCCGGCAGGGATCACTTCCACAACCTGCCCCCTAGGAGGGAGTTTTAATAAAAACTAAAAGCTCCCAATAGTTTTTTACACCAAGGACTGAACCTGCAATTCATAAAACAGGTAGTTTAAAAGAGAAATTCAACTAGTCAAAGACTTGTTCAGATAATGAGGTTTGTTTGAAAAGGTGGGCCATGCTAACTCTGGTGGGAATCGAGCAGCTACTTGGCAGTATTTCTTCTTTTTCTCCTGTGAATGTAAATCCAGAGGAATGAAAGAGATGTTCCAGCAGTAGAAAATGTGTTAATAGCCCTCGTATAAATGACATTGTACTCTGAAGTAAACTCTCAATTGTGGTGACGGGGACATCAGTGCTGCCAGATGCCAACATTGCATAACTCATTAAACAAAGGCACAGTTAGGAACAGCTACCAGAAAGAAAGGCTCCACTCACCGTCTATATCCGGGGCAAAGAGGAAGCGACCATTCACCGACTTGGTGACCGTTCCCAAACGGTTGCTGGCTTCGAGAGTGTAGTTTCCATTGTTGAGGTGCGTCGGGTTCTTGAAGATCAGACAACCCTCCAGATAGTCCTGGTAGAAGTCCAGCTCAGTGCGGATGTAATCGTTCTCAACAATCTCCTTTTTCTTGTAGAACCAGCGCAGCTTCGGGTGTGGGTAGCCCCGCACCGTGAACTCGATGCAGGTGTCGTGGCGCTTCTCGGGCTCTGCCAGTCTCACGATGAGTGGAGGAACTGCAGGGAAAAAGGAACCAAATCTTTAACTTGAGCTATAGATATATTACTTTTTTTAAGTATGATCTTTTTTATTTATTTGTGACATTGTCAAACACAGAAAGCATACATACATAGACCCTCACGTGTACAATAAAGGGAGTAAAAGAGACCATTCTACCAGGGTCAACAATACCGAAAAAACAAACAAACAAACAAACAGACAACTTGACCTATATTTTATTTGAACTATTCATACCTTACACCGCACTGCAACTTTTATTAATGCGGGAAAGTCTTGAAACAGATTTAAATATCCTAAATTCTGGGAATTGAAAAGAAAAATGGCTTGAAAGCCAAAGATTAATATTCTTATTTAAGGTTTCTTTTATTATCTTTGCTTTGTAATGACTGTTTTTAAATGCCATTTTATAATGTGTTTCAACTGCATTACTTCTTAATGCTCTTAATGTCTTTCATTTTTGTAAAGCACTTTGAATTGCCTTGTGTTGAAAGGTGCTATATAAAGAAACGTGCCTTCCCCAGAATGAGTATTTCATTGACCCAGAAATTGTAAATTTCGTCTCAACTGTTTTGTGTTTTACGTAATTTGAATTTTATAACAAAGACCTTTAGATGTAGAGAAAGTTTCACAACCCCTAGGCTGATTAAAACTGGCCAAAAGTGCACCAAAAAATGCAACAGCGTACTAAACCTAAAACTGCTCAGATGGTTCTGGGGAGCTTGGCATTTAGAAGGCAGGTTTCTTGCCTGGGAGTGGCAATGAGCCTTTTACTGTGTTTTACATATTGCCGCAGTACGTGAGACAGTGAGGGAAACAAACAGAAAGAGGGACTCCTATTGCTCGAGATAGACAGAAGGAATCTCTTCAAATGAACGAGCACAGAGCTTCTCTTTGCTGACGTGCAGCAGCACACCTCTGAATCTACAACACCGCCAAGCTGAAAGGCCATTTATCACTTTAATTCCATCAAATACATTTAATAAACAATTCATGCACCGATTTGTCTGTGCAATGAGTCACTTTTGCAGCTACATCATCAAAACAAAATATTTGGCAGGCAGTATTACCTGACAGACTCGCTGTGTATCTGTTCTACATTCATCCTCTCGCTAGGCTGCAATTTCTATAGGCATGCGAGAGCAATCCTTTTCATTTTCCCTAGATCATGGTCGCATGTGTTGTTATTCATATCCTGCAGCTTCCCTTATGAATACCCTCCTGTAGTTTCATGCAATGTGTTACATAACATGTACTATACATGTTTCCTAATTATAATTTGAATCAGGGATTAGGGCTGAGGTTCATTAACCAATTAAAGATATGCATTTATTTGAGGAATACAGGCACCGAAGAGAGAAGTTGCATGGTTTGGAGACCCCAGGGCAAACGTTTTTTGTGAGACCGATTTTTACACACGCACATACATAAGGACAACCTTTTGTTTGTAGCCTCCAAGCCTCAAATGTCCCATTATATGAAAAACAGTATACCATTTCTGACCTCAGTGGTTGTTACATTTCTTCCTGAGGAGGACATGCAGATTTGAAGCTGATTTAAATGCAATCCACCTAATGAATATAGTGACATTTTAATCAAAGCCACAACCCTCAATGTAGCGTTAGATGCAAAGATTAAGGAGATCACTAAAGTCTGAAGGGCTCATCCTCTGGGTGACATGAATGTCTGCAAAAATGTGGTACCAAAAACATCAGGCAGATGTTCAGATATTTGCTAAATAAGGTAAAACTTTGACACCAAAAAAAGGGTCAGGTAACCACCCAAGTCTTTATGATTCATCCTCTAGGGACCAAGAATGTCTACACAGAAAATAATGACAATCAATGTAACAGATCAAGATATCTCAGTCTTTACTGTGAGATTTAAAGGGCTGTATAAACATCTTTATGTTTAAGAACATGTATTATTAAGAAAGCGTAATCAGACAGTATGGAGATTACTTTTGATTGTGTTCTGCTTTTGTGTTTCTGTAGATCTTTGTAAGCAACTGTGATTGACAGGACATTGCTTTTGATTTTACATTGTTATGGTTATTAGATTTGTTTGTTATTTTGAAATAAGAGTGTCTTCTCCCTGCTCCTTTCCACCATGGGCTACAAAAAGAGTGTACATGTTTTGTTTTAAAATAACTGCCATGTGTAGAATAAACAAATAAAGAAAGTAACGCAGTGTCTGTCTTTTGCAGTACAAACTCCTGACCAAATTGTTGTAGAGCCTTTTTTTAGTTGCTGGTCCATTTGGACAATTTGGGAGTTAAAAACAGAAATAAATCTGATGTGGTGTGACAAGAAATCTTATGAACTAGTTATTTCCTGGCATAAAGCCATCATAATTGTAAAGACTACACTTTATTGACATTATCAAAACCTGGTTATATATATAAAAAGTGTTGTAAATTGTCGTGCAATGGGTAGCTCATGTTTTCATACCAAGATATTGTCCGGTATTAAGATGAATGCAGTATTCAGTTGTGTTTTGGAAGCTGTTATTTCATAAATTACTTTGGTGAAATTGTTCCTGCTAGACAATAGTGACAAAGAAGTCATTCAATTGCACTAAAGGCTAAGGCAAGAGTGTGTGTGAAGCTGCTAGTGTGGGGGTGTTTTTTGCAGAGCTGTGATTGTATGAGCGGGGAAAAAGAAGACTGGATAGAGATGATGGGAAAGAAAGAGCGAGGACGGAGACGACTGGCATGAGGGCGGGATATGGCTGAGCAACAAAAAGACTGGGAGAGAGAGAAAAAGAGGAAATAATGAAATTCTCTTCTTGATGGACAGTTAGGGACGGATCCATTTTCCCCTCAGCGTGGCTGTCACCCAAGTCTCAGTCAATACAATACAGAGTAATTACTGCGCTCCATACTGGTCTGTAACAACATGGTGTCCTTGTGGCGCTTATATGGATGACAAGCTTTGATAACTACATGCCTTTGATCAATGGGAGGCGCTTGTTGTGCAAAGTTATCTCACTCTAACACTGGTTGAATAATGTAAATGCCATGTTCCAATCAGATGTGGCTTGCGTTGACAGGAGAGTATGAGACAGACGCCACATATTCCCTTATGAGTATTTGAACCCGTAATAAGCAGCACACGGATATGTCAAAGTAAAATCACTATGCTAAAAAGCAGGTTGACAAAGGGTTATGGATGACCCTTAAATGAATAAGCCAGCAGATAGCATGTGACAAACTTAACTTCTGTGTTGAACCCGAAAGGACGCAGTTAATTAACTCCGTTGAACTAACCGAATTTGTCCGAGATACATTGTAAGAAAATCTAATCGATGTTCAAATCGGCTATAGTCATCTTAGAAGTTAGCATCCAATTGGTGGCAAAGTCCTGCTTGGCTATATGGAGCTAACAGCTAATGCTAAAATAAGTTTCTTTATGATGCGTTTTAGCTCTATTAAGTATAAATGAGTAAATGTGAAAGTCAGTTGTACCTTTATGATGATGTGTTCAAATGTAATCTTGTAAAGTTAAATCACATTTTTGGCGGGAATAAATACAGTTGTTTAAAGGAGATGTTTCTACAGATACATTTGTTAATATAGATAGGGTATCATGACCTGTCTGACTTTTAAAAAACTAGCTCGAAGCAGTTTATAAGATATAACTATAAACATCAAATGACAATTATTTGAATTGTATGCTTTTTGCAGAAAATTAAACTGTTAGCATTTGTCAATTTATGACAATTTACACTGTCTTCGGGATGGATGAAATCATTATTTGGGATGCTGGCGAAAAGCCTCAGAGGATGAGTTGTCCAATTAGGAAAATGTTGTCCCCCTGTCCATCATTTCTGTTCAACACCATGACTTTACAGTAGGACTAAAGAAGAAGACGTTACGTTGTGTGAGTCCACAACGCTGTGGAGCTGCTTTGTTCCAGGCAGCAGCAGAACAATGGCTCTGCAGAATTTGCATTGTGTTTAATTACAGTTACGCTAAAAAAGGAAACTCATCTTTGAATGCAGAGAATGTTTCTTGACGGCTGGTAATTTCGCTGTCAATCACATTACTCCCTAATCAGAGCAGCAGTTTAAGCTATTTTATGACATTTCCAGAGACAATAGGCTGCGCAGGGGAGGAAATGTAATTACCATCGAAGCATGTGGTGAAAAATTAATAAGTTAATTTGCAGCACCAGCAGAGAGTGACAACAGAATGGAAGAAAATGCCTGGAGACGTACATCCGTACAGTGTCCGTGTAGAGGAAGCCCTGAAGACTAGATGTTGCAAAAGTCAATCTGTCATTTTAGCACGCTCTTTAGCTGCCGTGCTTCAGTGGGGAGGGTTTGAATTGACGACAAGTTCCCCCTGTCCTGCAGCCTGATGCATTGCAAACGCCCATAATAGATTGTGCTCTACAACAGCATGCTTGCTACAAAGAGAAAAACATTTCAGGCACCTTTAATAAAATATTGGCTTTGAACACCGTCCGTCACATTTCTGCTCAAGGCCGATCCACGGGGTAAACTTATCTAACATAAAATGTAGTGTACGAGTGTAAATTATGGTCTGAATATTAAGAGGAACATTCGGATGGTTACCAAATCATTGCTTTACCATAGCTGAGGGGATTTCCCCCCCCCCTTTTTCCGCTGAGATCAAGGCTTTGCTTTCATGTGGGCTGGAGGGTATATTCTTGCTAATTGGCTACATCAACTTCATTAGATTTGTAACTTTGTAACACCTCATAGCATTTTAAATGTACCTGCATAATTTGGCTGTTCGACTTGATAAAGGATATTTTTCCCCCTCTTTTTAAATTATTCTCTTAGACTGTCAGTGTCATCAATACAAGATGTATTTCAGTCGACAACATCAGTCCATCAAAGCTGCCATGAAAGGCATCTTGTGCAATTGAAAGCCAGCGTTGTTGCCTTCTAGCTTCTACCAGATTCATTCTAAATAAGGATTTGTTTAATACATTAATTACAGGATTGGTCACTGCTGTCGGCCTGATAATTTCAAAATTAATCAGAAAACTCAGTGGCAACCGTGACTATTATAATCTACATGTAACATGACTTTTGAAACATAAAGGAGAGCAGAAAAACCCAAACTATTAATATCTCCATACACCCAACACACACACATTTACATAATAATCCAAATATTGGATAATGCGTCAAATTGTTAGAGATTTGAGGTAATTTTAGGTGATTTAGGACTCAATCAATATGCCGCTTACCTGCCATTCATTGAACACAAAATGTTAATTAGAACAGCTGCAAATCCACACAATGAGCACTGTCTTCTACAAAATGACTAGATATTACTAAGCTTGGCAAAAAACATTAAAGAGGACATTTAATTATCATCTGGATTACATTTAAGGATGGTCGGTATGCGATCTAATATAGATAAATGTCCGTTAATTGAGATGTTATACACCTTGTGGTGTTGGAATTGATGATTGATGGAGGCTGTTAGTGAGTACAGATGTTCACACTACATTTATCCCTTGGTTAATCCGCACGGACCACACATTAAATCAACAGCAAACAACATGACAACAGGATCCAGTGGAGTCAATATTATTCTGCCTGTCCTCCACTTTGGTCAAAACCAAAATATCGTTCCTTTTTTCCAGCACCACCACTATGTGTTTTACACAGTATTCGGCATTTAGTGACGGTTTCTTTGATGAATTGCTTTGAATTTACACACATTCAGGTTCTCCTTGAACTGTAATAAAAATAGACCATCATTGTGTCTTCATTTACATTTGTTCAGTACTTTGGTTTTATTTGCTAATCTATAAACATTCCCATTAACCTCGGCTGCCCCATGTGTTTATTACAAAATAAGGAATATCTTAGTATGCTAATGAATTTCCTTAAATTGTTACATTGTAAACAACTTTCTTGCTTGATTTTCATTACTTAAAGATACATTATAGTACTTTAGAAAACATGTAAGACCTTGAGAAGGTGTTTTGCACACCAGTAGTTGAATAACAAAGATATACAAACATTTGAAGAGTACGTTTTTTTTTTGTGTGAATATTTTTACTTAATATTAATGATATCCTCCATGTCTCTCAATTGAGCATTGGCACCAATTATCCTCTTCGCAATGTTCCCTGACGTTGTTAAATATATTTATAATGGAAGAAAATGGATGAACACAATGTTACCTAATTTTGTATTTCCTTTAAATTCAGTGCTTTTGATTGGAGTAAAATGATTCATGTTGTGTTGATATTTACTATATAAGTTGACTGTTAGACTTGCAGAAATCATGTCCATACCAGATTGTAAGATGTTAAACCAAAGTAAAAATAGTATCATACTAAATATTGTATCGGAAGACAAATTGGTATTTAAATGAAGGCAATAAAGTAAACCGAGTACAAGCAGGTAATCTATCTACTTGTAGTGGTATATTTAAAGGTCTCCTATCATGCTATTTTTAGGCAATAGCATAGGTCTCATATTTATACAAATATGTAAAAAACATGTCTGCTCCAAATACCAAAACAGATCCGTTCTAGCCTCATATCCCTCCGTTTCAGCCCCAGTGCTGAAAAAAGAGGGGGGCGGAGCTTATGCCTGCTCATGGGGGACCCGGTAGATTCTCAGCTAAATGCTGCGGTAATGAAACGCCATATCATGTTCAAAACCACATCAAGGATTATTTCTGAAACAGCATGGAGCTCAAATGCTTATTTTCTTGCGGGTTTACCACAAGGTAAGTTCCTTTTTTCATTTCCTGCTTCTTTACACATGCTCTCTCCAGTACAGGTTAGCTCTGAGTGTTAGCGATGCTTGCTAATGTAAACAAAGACCATATTACATCCAAAAGACGTCGGGCATTGTTTCTGATAGCAACGTTTCTGATAGGGCCGTGGGTCCACCATCCGATGACGTAAATGATTACATCATATCGGATGGCAAATCTGGATCAGCTCCGTTGTTCCCCGGTTTTTAGAGATTTGCGCACGGAGGAAAAGAGAGAGGGTTTTGTTTTCTGACACTTTGTGAGTCTCCCGACACACCGGGGACACACATTTATGTATACAAGACGTCAAAAAGTGCATTTTACATGATAGATCCCCTTTAAGATATGTGTTATAAGATATCAGCCATTAGCCATGTGTCCAATTCAAGCTTAAGTGTAGCCTTCACACCCCCCCTCTACCCCCGTTTTATTAGATTCATGTTACTCACATTGCACGTTGAGCTGGATGGAGGAGTTGCTCATTCCCACCACGTTCTCTGCGATGCATGTCAGCTGGAAGTTGTTGTCTTCCCGGCTGATGTTGAACAGAG